TACAAAGATCAGGTTTTGTTTGCACGAGGTACAATCATTAGCTTGTGTCAGATAACTTTTGTCAGCAAAAATGACCATCCAGACCTGTAACATTCTTGACAAGAAATGACAGGATTAACTGGCCCAAATTTAGGTTCAGTTCAGATGCCGTTTCTCAGCCCATCCCGTCCGGCCGAGTACTAATTCTGCTGTGAATGAAATAGTGAAAATTCCAACGACCCTTCCAGTTCATTCGAAGGCCGTCGGAATCGAAGGATGGATGGTTTGCGAAGGAGATTTTCAAGTTAAACGAAAATCCTACTAGGTTTCGGTTTCACTTGCAGCTAATCGACTAGGTTTTCCTTCTGTTCGACAGTTTGAGTCGGAATCGAACATCTGTCTTCACCAGCTGGATAAAGTTTACCTTTCCAGTATCGGATCCAAACCACGAACACCACCGGTCTGACCGCCAACGATGGATTCGGAAAGATCTACTGAAGACAGACTTGCAGTCGTTTAGGGTTATTTCCTCTGTGGAAGCGTAAGACGCCTAAAATTACGATTCCGACTGCCGAAAATCCAGTTGGGGACTACCAGGGAGGTTAGCCTGCTGGCACATATCCATCCCTTTTGCTTGTTTTCATGTTGCTCATCACTTTTAGGATTTGGGCACGGTGATACAGTGGCAAGGTGGTCAGGGTCAGGCATCTAAGGTGCCGCGTTCGAATTCGAAGAAGGGACTCTTTCTGTCCTAATCGCAAATTCTTTTGTGCAAGCAGTTACCTAATGTTGTTTCGATGCATCCAGCCATGAAATGGGTAGTAATTCGTTGACTTGCGATCGACCGTGGTATTTGGTGAGATTATACTAGAATGGTTGCAAGATGTGACCATGCTGTCTGATACGAGTGCCTCATGTGGCTACATTTCGCCGTGATTCACATGCCAGCGGTCTATTCAGAGTAACAGTCAGCACAAATTGGTTCTCCCTCCCAAAAAATACCACAAAAAATATCCTCCATGATGATGTCACTAGCTTTGAGTGACGAAAGGCATTAGTTTGAACCACGAATGAACAAGTTTGATATTCTTTCAGTTCATCGATACCCAGAATCGCGAACATCTTTGAAAGTTATTGAGAAAGTTATGTTATTATGAGGCTTAAATTTGAAGTAATAATTTAACTTCTTGTGATTATGGCGTATTTATATGTGAGCGCGTCTTTAATGATATGTTTTTCGTGTCGTAGTAAGTGCAGGGTTGCTATTTGTTTTGAGGGCATTCATTTAAAGCATTGTTAGTGATAGTATCATGAACTCAGGCAGAGTTACTCTTCCCTTCAGCGGGTCTTGAATGTCTCTGACTTGTTCCTAGGTACAGAGGGTTTATTTTTCACTAACTACTCGCATATATATATATATATTGTAGGAAGAGTGACAAATAGACATGTAAAGGTGGTTAAGCAAATTTATTTTTCTTATTAAGTGACATTGAGCATGAACCATGATGATATGTACAGAGGCGACAAGCAGAGTTCGCTATTTGATCAACAAGATGTGCTAACGTCGAAAATTAAAGACGCATGTATGAGGTTCGCTTTTGGTTTGTTTTTAGACTATTTTATTAATTTTAAATGTTCTTATTCTAGAAATTAGTTAGGTTATGGAAGGTAGGTGTGCATAAACGAGGATTATTGATGCCTGAATCAGTTCTTTAGACTTTTCGCGACGATTCCAACAAATTTGTCGCTGTAGGCAACATTAAAAAGAAAAATCCTACTTTTAAACATGACAGAAATTTCAACAGTCCTCTTTAGCGACGGAAGGAGCTGCTGATACCTTATCGCTCAAGCCCCGTTTTCGTCCTTCTTTTCATCTTCCCGATGTAGATGCGTGTGCACTACCATAAGGAAGAGGAAGCAGAAGTCTATTCGCTATACTTGCAACGTTTGTGTAGTCTTTGCCTATGCCTAACTGATGGCATAGAAATCGAAATCAGCACCGAACCTTCAGCTCCATGGAAGGAGCAGTGTCCAAAATGGTGACCATCGTGAAGGTATAGCGGATAGCAACAGTGTATTCAGTACCTTCTACCGTAGATTTACCAGCAGTAACTTTCCTCCTCAGACTTCCTTTCATTCGAAGTAGCCTCTTTCCAGTATTTTTTTATGAATGACGCTTTAAATAGCTAAAAAAGCTGATTCAGCAACCGGATTCTCAAATAATTGTATGGAAAAGTAACATTCAAATTCTTGTTGGGAATAGTCTGTCCACTTAAGTGACCTATTTTTAATTGCTTGCCGACGCTGGATAGATGTTTCCGTAAGTTTCATACTTTTGTCCCGAAACGAACTCCCGCACTTGATTGATTGTCGTCAGCCCTGTTTGTCTTGTTATCGATCAAACGCGATGTGGCCACCATTAAAATTTTAACAGCAGCAGATTTTCATCACAACGGATACCATCAGTCACATTTGAACTATTTGTTTTGAAGTATGCGCATTAAGTTTTAATGAATATGTTAACTCCCCGGTTAATCCGAATGCATAGCGAAGTACATCACTTACTCTTCAAGAGGCTACTGTTGCTTTTGACGTGGGAGATATAATGCCAGATTTTGTGCCTGCGCAAAGCCTGCGTTAGTGTTGGACGTTGCGGTATTCAATTTCACGAATGACTCAAGCGTTTTAATTGAAAAAAATGGAGAAATTATGGTCAAGGCAAGTCAAATTACTCGATTCTGGTAATTTCTCGTTTCCAGCATAATAACCGCCTTCCCAATATGAGGAACCTGAGTATCTGCAGTATTTATTTATCTGTTTATAGCATGACCGACGAAGAACGAGGCGTCAGAGATTAGCCATACCGAGACTGAGTTCTACGTGTTGCAATGAATAAATTACACCAGAATTTCACAAATGCTTAGTTATAACTGATATATCAGTTAGATTAAGATATCAGTTCATAGGTGTTATCGGTTTCATGGAGAGCAGAGGTATTGTTCCTTGTCTGTCGGAAGTTTCAACGCGGTTCATCTCAATTATGAATGATTTACGACCATGATCTTTGTGGTGTTATGATTCTCCCCGGGATATGAGGCTCATCCGTGCAGTGCATGTTATAAATTATTGATTTTGTCTAGCTTCATAACTCGATGGACATTTAGCAATAAGAGATGGTGCCGTACATAGCTCGATAATGCTCATTTTGGCAGATTGCTACAAGTTAGTAGATTTGGACAGTGAAGCTGATCGAAGTTTAGAGACGCATTCCTGACATTTTTCCATTGTGATCCTGTCGTTCTTTACCAAGCATTGATTACTATAAATAATTTTTGAATTAGTACATCAGTAATTATTTTAACGATTTACTAGAGTGATGATCTTCAGGCTCTCTGATGAGGTTTAGAGTTCTCACGTTTTAATGGTGAAAGCAAGGCAAGAAGTTCTCGATTTCGTCTTCCAGTGATCTCATGGATCTCTTGATATCTAGTGGGTTTCTCTGTAAAAGTTTTTCACGCCTGTTGCTGTGTGGAGCATACGATGTGAAATGTAGGAGGTGATTCTGTACCTTGCCTTATTCTCTGTTCTTTGTACATATTGTCAAATGTTTTGTTTCATACTGTACGATGAGGAGGAGAAGAAGAGGAGTGAGAGTAAAATGCGCATTAAAAGCTAAAAGAAAGAAAAAATGAGGTAGAGCAAAACCGAGATAAAAGAGAAGTAGATTGACAAGGAACGTGATGATGAGGAAGTAGAAAAAAATATAGCGTCGGTGGTTAATGGACCCACTGCCTACATCATCTGTCTGGTGCTGCTCGGTAAGTCATAATACGAGAAAACAGCGTTTACTGCACCATGCGGAATTCTGCTGTACAGCATATGCAGCATAACACTGAATTTCTGACGCTCTCTGGTCCCTTGATATTGGCTTACTTCCTGTTTTCAAATGGCGAATCACCGCGAACCAGAAGCCATTTCTCTGCGGTAATCAGCCAGGAATGTTTGGAATGTTGCACCAAGCAGTGGCAGCTTGTTTGACCAATGAGGTTTCATTTTCGAAGTTCGACTCGGCAATAATATTCCAGCTCATTACAAATGGAGGAAGATGAATGAGAAAGAGATTGGCGAACGAAGATGAAGAATGCTAGAATAAGGACGAAAAAGGAATAGAACAAGAAAACGAAGCAAATAAAATGAAAATGAGGAGTCTGAAGATGAAGAATGGGAAGAGAAAGGAAAGAGTAAGATGGAGAACAAAAGGTTTGATTTCTGAAACTCATTTCAATTTTGTTTCTTCTTGCTCAGTAAATTGCCACCTCAGTGGTTCTAGGCACAATTAAGTCAAACAGTGTAGTTACCGAGCGTTGCTTGCCCTGAGGATGCCCAGTGTGATCTAATTGCAGCGTCGACAATTATTATAAAGAACTACCTTCTGTCTGTTTCGTTGTGTCTGGGACCATTGAGGTGGCAATTTATTGCAAACAAGATTTAGTCATTCGTTTGTTTAAGTTGACAAAGTTGCCCTTATGCATGTTTGTCATAACGATTGCATTCTTGGATCTCAAAATAACTTGACAAGCGTGAAGTGCTCAACATTGAAAGAGTAATTAGCAAGAGGCATGACCTATTAGTAATGCAAGAATGTCTCCTCTGTTTAACTTCTTTTCCTTTCAGTTTGGCATTAAACAGACCTGAAGTGGTTCCTCATTTTTATCACTGCGGAGCGTTATTAGCAACTCAGTGCATGAGGTATGTGGCTCTAGGTCTTACCGTAACTTCAAGACCTAATTCACTGTGATAGGCGAGGATATTGAGCAAGCAAATAATCCGTTCCGCGAGTGCATCGTAGTTGTGGCTTAACTTCGTGTAGGCGAACAGCAGCCTAATTGGTAGCTTCGTTTCAGCCAATAACCTTAACCCTTTGTTCTGTAATCCTTTTGGTGAATGCTTTGTTTCGTTGATGACGGTTGCTTTCTTCTTGCGGTTGCGCAGTTCACGAGAATTAAGCTAGTTCACTTCCTCTACTCGGCATTCCCGATGAGATCCATCGATCCGATATGGATATGCAGCTGTTGGCCTTTCACTCTCAAGGACGCTGTTGCCTTTGGACCACTATTCCAGCAAAGTTCAAATGTTCCTTTCCCGCGTTGCAGTTCTTGCTCCTCGTGTTGAGGTGAAAGCGTGCTAGCTAAAGGGCAAAAGGTCAATTATCGACCGCTAATTTAACCCCCCCCCCCGCGCTTGACGTTGACAGATGGCACAATCGAGGAAGCGTCGCGTTGGTTCTGTCTGTAATTTATCCCTAATTATCTCGACCACAGCTGGGTTGATGCCGTGGACGCGACCTTCGTTAGGTAATTCCTTTGTGGTGTAATAGTATCCTAAAATCGACGGGTCAAACTCGTCTGGTACGCAGGAGTGGATTTCGACCGGCGATGAGTTGAACTGCAAAGAGAACAGCTCCATTTTGAGCTCTCTGTGTTTTCTTACATTGTTTCCGTTGTAGTCAGGAATTTATTGGTCATGGAATTACGATGCGGCCGACTTGCGGATGGTTACAGTGAGGCCAGCAAGTAACCAGTGCCTTTGTAGCATTTGATTGTACCAGTATTTCTGAACAGCAGTTGTTTAATAACTTATTCAGTCGTCATTGCTTTTTGTATTTTTTGCGTAGAACTGCCTGACGTATGCTTAAGTATTTGTTGTTCAGGACATATTTTTTTCGATCTTCGAACACACGTTTGGCGATGACCATTTGATAAAAAGTGTAAGGAAAGTTTGTAACGGTCTTCCTTACTGTTTCGTAATGGGGCCATTTCTGGTGTCATTCATTTCATGATGTTAATGCTGGGGTGCTGATGTATTTCATTTTCCATACCATCAGTCCGCAGTGCGCTGACAGCAGCTGTGTGAGAAGTATTGTAGTAGCCTCTTGTTTCACTCTCTTAGAGTGGTACTAATTTTTCAACCTCTGAAGGAATAAAGGCGAATAACTCGACCATATGTTTGGTTCTGAGTCAGAAGCTCTACCGACTGAGCAAATCCGGTTCTGAATTGAAGCTTTATGTAGCACATGGCAGTACGTATGAAAGAGAACATTACCCGAGATTTCTTAATGGTCAAAGTCCATGCTGATTTTGCTGCTAACTTATGTATCAGAAGGTTGCTTGTTCATTATCTGCAGCCCGCGAGCGCTCTCGGTGCCATCATGTTGTTCATTCGGAAAGCCTAAGTAATTGTTTATTATATAATAATAATTTTGTCCAAAATTAATTGCCAAGGAAATTTTTTTGGTCTTTCATAGTTCTTTCATAAGTTATATTCTGGAATGAGCTCTGTTTTGTAACGTTACTCATAACGGCAATGATGTACAAACACAGCACAAAAACACGCATGACTGTTATCTTATTGAATGTTATACCCTGTGACTTGCTGATGTGATCTCTGCCGTAAAAATGACTGACATTTGTGGTGCTTTTGAACCAGTTTTATGTTGGTTCAGTTTCTCTAAGAACGCGTTAGCGAAACGCTGCATTTTCGGAACAGTGCTCTTAATTATAATGTTAATTGTGATGATCGCAGACAATTATGTCGACAAGTGGTTTCTGCTATTATTTAAGCTTACCAGGCGTCTTGAGCAGAACGTTCATTTGCAATTGACCCCGGCCCAGTGGAGTCAGAAGTGACGGCTCTATGAGGCCTGGTCGGGTCGAATTTGGCTGAGGCTCAGTCATCTCTTGTCACATGGCCGATTTCTCCTCCGCATCACGCAGCTGTTCTTCATCTCGCCGAAGATTTCGTCCCTGCAGTTTTGCGAAGATGACATAGGGTGATGTCGATTTACGTCTCTGCACTTTCAACAACGTTTGGGTGATATTCTGCGTTGATTTATTTTATCACGGAATGCTAGCTGAAGAACGTATTCTGTCAAATACGTTGTCATCGTACGTCGTGTAATTCGTCAAATCATAAATTTCGCTGCGTAGTGCTACGAGGAGCCGACCGTTACGATAGAAATTTCGCATAGGCAACTGTAGAACATTGGCGGCTAGTGTTCCCCTTAAAGCCCCCAAATTGGAGAATGCACGAGAGACATTGAAGCCAGCCCAGCTGTGCTTTAACCTACTTTTATTATTATTGATACTACTAAATTAGGTATTGTGTCGCCCCCTCCCGTTCCTTGTCCCATCGTCATTGATCATTCATGCCTGACGTCTTTTCGCCCTTTGCTTCGTGCGATGGTTGATCGGCTTTGAAGGCTGGGCCAGCTATCGAACCGACTATCAGCGTCAGATATTCGGCGTTCTAAGCATTCTTGTGATGAG